CTTGTCACCTGGGGGAGTGTGGGCGCTCCCTCCATGGCAGTGACCCAGGCCCAGAAGGGCGGCTTTCTGTTCTGAGCCTCCTCCCAGCCACTCCACGCCAGCCACGCCCTCTCCAAGAACAGCCTGTGTTTGATCCTTTGTAAAAGACACGTCAGGTCTTTGACTAACAAAGGATATAAAACTAGTGAAGTGGAAGCAGTTAAAGTGAATGCCGAAATCAAAACCCGAAGGTGGTTTAGTCAGTCTCTGAACTGAGGCCTGAGAGGCTGGGAGGGCAGGCTCTTCACCGGCCCCGTCGCTGCCCAGTAGGATAATAATTGTCGGAAGAGGTCCTGCTCCCTGAGCACCTGCTACGCCAGCCACTGTTCTGGCCTCTCACACACGCAAGGAAGCTGGGAGCTGAGGTGTTGGTCCCCTAGCTGGGGTCACACTGTGAACATGAGGCCACCTGGAGCCCTGCCCCTGATGGACCACATCTCCACCTTCCAACCGCGGTGGCTGAGATGAGCCTCTTGCCCTCGGGTCAGATCCAACCAGCTGCCGGTCTACCCTGTGTTTTTATTTTAAGGAATTGTAAGCTCCTGGAATCTTGTCTGTGTTTTGCCTGCCTGACCTGTACAGGTCTGCAAGGGTCTTGATTTTTCTCTTTTGCTGTTTGAGCACAGAAACTCATGTAAGCATTTCAGAGACGGTAACGAATTGCACTCGGCTTGGGCAGGAAGGGCCTCTCAGCGCAGATAAGAGTAAGGTGTGAGCAGTAATTGTTATCATCCGGCCAGGAGAGCTGCTCTCGGTGCTGTGGGTTATGCCCCGTCCTTGTCATCTGCCCCGTGAACCACTGAACCACCACGGAGGGTGGTGCCCTGCCCTGTGGGCTGGGGCAGTCGGAAAACACTACTCATTCTTTACTTCTCCTCTGCTCTGGCTAATGGTTATCCACACACCCCAGCCCATACGTGCAGTTTCATTTTTCCATGATGTTCACAGCATTGGACACCAGGGGAAACTCACAGACACCCTTTCTTAGTGTCATTACTCAGTGTTTGAAAAGAAACACTGTGCTAACGCGGTTTCTACTTCCTAAGTTTCTTCATCTGGTCCAAGTACCAGCAATACACTTTTCTAATCGTACTTGTCTTCTCGGCCCTAAAAGGCTCAGCAGGCCCCGAGGCCAGCTGTGGCTGGGGGGCCAGATCACCAGCTTCGAACCAGCAGCCAGGCTTCGGGCTTCTAACTGCACAGACTCTGAGAAAGTGTCTGCGAGACCTGGGAAGAGCCAGCGACCTGCACATGTGGTTGTTTGTGTGAGAGGGAGGGGGAGCTCCGGAGAAACCTCACACGCAGAGAAAGCTTTTCTCCCCACCCGCACATCACTCCCGGACTTGGGACCCACCCAGACCCGAGGCCTGCCGCTGCCCTGCCTTGGGGGACGTGGGGCCGGCCAGTCATCCACATCTGGATTAGCTGCCGATTTTAAATGATTTTAAATCGTGATTTACCAAAAAAGTAGATTCGCTCCTGCTGGCAAGGTGCAAAGAGGCAGCCTGTCAGTCCTCTAAGACAGCAAAGAGGTGAGAATGTAGTGTTTGCCACGCTGGTCGGTGGCGTCTGTGGGTAACAGAGGGAGGCCAGGTGGAGCTGCCCACCTCCTCACCAGGCTCATCAACTCCACTAAGGGCAGTTCTTAACTGGAGGAACCAGAACAAGCATCACGCAGGGTTATTTCTGTCCAAGAGCGGAAATAACTAGTCCGAGTACTTGGACCAGTGAGGGGGTTTCTCCCCAGTGGCATGTGTTCAGCACAAGTCCTGATCGGGGTGGAGAAAGCAAGGTAACGCTCCATTTGAAATGCCCCAAGGGAAGGGGAAAGTGTGGATTCTGGGAATTGACTGGCAAAAGGGATGTTTCATGTCTGGCAGAAGTCTCAAGTAGATTATCAAGCAGATAGCCTGTGAGCGTTAAAGAGAGCAGAGCGTTGTGATCTGAAGGCACCAAACTGATCCTGTTGACACAGGATGTCACCAAGACATTTGACAGTATCGCCTCACCCTAAGAGATATGTCGGTGACCTGCGCAATGGGTAAGCATACAAAGTGGGTGTGAAACATGAAAAATCTCTAACAAGATGCTGATTGGCCCCTTGACTGGAAGGGAGGTCTCTGGTGAGCTCTGAGCCCTGTCTTTGATCTGACCTGCTTGGCATTTTCATCAGCGATCACTTGAGTGCCAGGGCAGAGGTTTGCTAATCCAGTCTGGGGAAGCTCCAGCTTGAGGGGCAGACTCACATGGTAGGCACAGAATTTAAACTGGGGGTAGCTTGAGTTGGCTCCTCATTGATCAGAGGAAATTTAACAGCATTGTATGCTCCTGAACCCGGAAGATCAAGTATAAACTCACAGGTGGGTGTGAGAGGCCTGACTTGAGAGCATTTTATGTGAAAATACCAGAGGGTTTTTAGCAGGCCCCACCTTAACTGGCCACCACAGTGTGATGTAGCTACATACAAAAGGGCATGAGTACACTCAACTATACATATGTACACATGCTACTGAAGCAAGGGCTGTGGTCACAGGAAGACAGCAGTCTAGCTGCCCTTGGCCCCGTCAGGTCATGCTGGGTCGGATTGGGCCCTGTGTTCTGAGACGGCATAAACAGGCAGCATGTACAGGGAGGCTGGGCTGGAGGGTGCTGGACACCGAGGCACAGGTGGACAAACACAGCCAGGGATCTTCTCAGCAGGCCTGGAGCACAGTGTGGGGAGAGGCAGTCCACCCTGTAAACACAGGGGGCAGTCACAGTCATGAGAGAGGACAGGTCAGTGGGGCCACGAGACTTCTACTTGGGTTCCTCCCCATCTGGAGACAGGGAAAAGGGCCAAGCACCCCAAGATCCTGTGGATGAGGAGGAGGCAACCAGGCCAGGAGCACAGGGAAGAGCCTTCCAGCAGGAAACACCCCCAGTGACTGTGGGAGACGGCGCCGCGTACCTGGGACACCCTGGGAGTGGGGTGCTGGCCTAGTGACGCCAGGGGGTTCAGGGGAGGAGGCAGGCAGCCCTCAGACTCTCAAAGTGCTTCGCACAGAAAAGGAATAGGGTTGCTTTCTGTTCCTCCAAAGGGCAATACTGTTGCTGTCCCCACGAGTGACACTAGTGAGCGGCAGGTGCTGCCCCGTTGAGGAACTCACATCTGGCCAATGAGGGAAGAGTGTGCCTGGCCCTCTGCGAAGGCGCTTCTTTCCTGGAGTGGAAATGAAGCTCGAAGATCCCGGCCATTCTGTTCCGTCCGCACTGTCCATCGCCCTGGGCAGCTGAGCTGGACGTGCCTGCAGGCCGACCGCTCCTTTAGAAGACAGCTGTCCAAGGCTCTGACCACGCCCCCCGTGGGACCCACACCCGCTGCTCACCTGTGTGAATAAGGGGCGGAAGTGAAGCTATGGAAGCCCCTCACTGCGTGCAGCCTTTAACCCTAGTCCAGTGATGGTGAACCTGTGACACGCGTGTCAGGTCACACGCTAACTCATTTTTTTGGTTGATTTTTCTTTGTTAAATGGCATTTAAATATATAAAATAAATATCAAAAATACAAGTCTTTTACTATGGTTGCAAATATCAAAAAATTTCTATATGTGACACGGCACCAGAGTTAAGTTAGGGTTTTTCAAAATGCTGACACGCCGAGCTCAAAAGGTTCGCCATCACTGGCCTAGTCTTAACCAACTCGCTGTTCATGACCCTCTCACAAGGGCTCACAGTCTCATTTTGACAAACACTGGCCAGAATCCCACTGAGAAGGAACTCACATCCCCTGTGTGCCCTCCCAAGGCTCCTGAGGAAGTGCACCCACTTCACCCCTACTCCCTCCCCCTCTCCCATCCTCCCCCTGCCAGCTGCCCACTGCACCCTGCACTCTGCACCTTCTCCCTCTCCTCCCATCACTCAGGCCTCCCACACCCTGGTGTGTCCCCCACCACCCAGCCCACCCCACGCTCCCACACACACCGACTCCCCTCAGCTGCAGTGCCCAGCACCCAGTTTTCTACAGGAAAGAGGACCACGGTGGTGACTAATCGGCCACAGAAGCCTCTCTAATGAGCACATTGAAAATCTCAGCATTCGTAGGAGTATCGTTTCGACTACATATTATTGCAGATGTGGTATATGTTAATATAAGTACAAAAAAGTAGATGTTCGTGGCTCTCCAGCATCACAGACATTTTTATCATACATTTTGAAATGGGAGACTCCATTACGAATAAACTTGATTATCTCTGCCAGTTTTGACATTGGAGACTGCCTGTAGGTCAAAGAACAGGAAACCCCTTTTTTCACAGATTCAGGATTTGTGGTTTAAAAAATGCAAGCCTTGTCCTCCCTACCCCTGTGGCTTTACCTACCGCCTCCGCGCACAGGGCTGCTGCCACCTGCGGAGCCCGGCCAGACGCAGCAAACCCTGTGACTGATGTGAAATGCTGGCACCGTGTGGGCATGCACAGGACGTGCTCCACAGGGTGACCCCGAGAACGGAAAGGCATTTTCATGGTCGGTGTCCGCCAGCATCGGGAATAAGCCTCCAGCTAAACAGTTGTTCACCTGCGTAAGGACGTGCAGCTGAGCCGTTATTCCTCCGGAGTCAGATCTGACACTGAGGAGTGTGGTGAACGGCAGCGGCTTCCACAGACCTGCTCCCCAGCCCCGGGCCCCCCGCCCTCTGCTCATGCTGGCAGGTTGCTGGGCCCGTGGGTGCGCCATTCTCATCTCTAAAGGGAGGACTCCATGGCGAATGCATATCTATCGGCTCTATGTACTAAGCACTTTAAAATGTGCCTGTGAGGATTTGTTGAACCTCAGATTTCACACTGAAACGAAAATTAGTTTTGGGGGTTGTTGTTTTTTTCCTGGGGGTGGGGGTCAGCCTGTCCTTAACGTGAAGAGCACTTGGGGCTGGTGGGCCAGGGACAGTGCCGTCAGCTCACCCGTTCTCTGGTCTTGTTTCTGCTCAGGTGGCCCGGCTCATGGAGATGGGATTTTCCAGAGGCGATGCTTTGGAAGCCCTGAGAGCTTCGAATAATGACCTTAATGTGGCCACCAACTTCCTGCTGCAGCACTGACCGTCCCCACGGACAACACTGGGACTGGCCGAGCCGCTGACCACAGCGGGCGCCATCCCTGCTCCTGTGTCAGCCGGAGGCTCCTGCGTCCAGTGATGTTCTTCTCCGGCGAAGGGCGGGTCCCGCTGCTCCCTCGCTAATTCAAGGTCGTTACTGTTCGGGTATGGAAAATCAGTTTCAGTACTCTAAAGTAAGTTTGCCATTAAATTAGCATGTATTTTCTGTCTTTGCTTTTTTATTGGGTGTTTTCCTTAGTTTGGAGAATCATCACTCATTCCTAATGTGTTTAAAATGCATTAAAATTGCAGCTGTCTGCAAGCAGTTGAATAGCACTCCAGATGGGAAATTACTGCTATTGTAATATTATCCTTTTTCTTATAATGCATCATCCTACGTTATATCTCACCATAAACGCTGTAAAAGGAGAAAGGGAATGCTATTCAGAAAGGACATGTCAGGTTGTCCCTTAGGGACCTTTTTCATCGCTGTTTTTTCCCCCTCAAATTTGTTTTCCAGCCCTAATGGCTGTTCATTGCCACACTTCCTAGGGGTACCTGTCTGCTGCCCGCAGTATTGGCCGGGCCTTGGTGATGAGGGAGACACGGAGAACTAACTCCTACCCTGATCCAGCCCTTTCTTGTCCAGGGAATTTTTCCCAACTCCTCCCCACCTCCTGATAACCAGTTACTGACTCTAGGTTCTGGAATACTCCATGACACTTACCTGGAGTGAACTTTGCTTAGAGTATCCACAGTTATCCACCCAGGTTAGGGGGGAGTGGGTCAGAAGAGAAAACAGAATGGTGGGCAGGCTGGGCCAATAGGGCAGGCGCTCCTGGCCTAGGGCAGACTGGGACCTGGGCTCCAGGCAGTCACCTGAGGGGCATGTCATCGCCGTGGAGATGGTGGGAGGCCGGAAGGGGCGAGGCTGAAGAGACCTAACACAGGTGGCTCAAGGTTTAAGGAAATTGTACGACTGTGTTCTGCAAAATGAGCAGAAATGTATCAAATTGACGTGAATTTGGACATGTATGATACTTACAATAAAGTTTTTAACGTGCATTACTTTTGGGTATTTTTTATTAGACCTACCGAAATAAAACTTGGTTCTAGACTATACTACATGCCACCTCACTCCCCTAAAAAAATTGCCCGGCTGCTCATCTTTCTTCAGAAGGTCTGGGTGCTGCTCTGTAGTGAGAAGCCCTTTGTTCCTGCTGGTAGGACTTCCCGAGAGGCCCGTGCTTAGGTCTGTCGGGGCTGAGGTGACAGAGCCCCACGCGCCCCAGGCACAGGCCTGCAGGGACGGTTGGCAGGAGTGGGGTGTCCTCCACTGCACGCCCTGACCACGGGCAGGAACTGGACAGCCTGAGGGTGTGCGACGTGTGCTCCTGTGGCCTGTGAGGCGTTTCCCGGGCGGAAGGTCTCAGGGAAGAACAAGCACACCCAGCAACGTGCCGCCTCTGGGTTCCTTCTCGCCTCGAACAGCACCCAGCATGGCACAGCCAAAACAATACAAAATGCTCGCTGACCGCGCGCTTCTGCTGCTCCCCCAGAGGAAGGGAGCACACAGTGAGCCCTGCATTGAAAGGACTGCTTTCTGGGCAGGATTCCCTCCTCAGTGTGGTTACCTTTCAGAGATCCTCGTCCTGCCAAAGAGCCTTGGTGAGCCTCCACTTCAGCCTCTGACTTAGAGGATAGGAGCGGCCACAGGGCATGCACCCGGCAGTGGCAGGGCACCCTCAGGCGCTCCCTGGTGTCTTTCAGCCTCCTGTTCCGCTCCTACAGCTGCCAGATCCCACCTTCCAGTAGGGAGCCCTGCTTTCCTTCATTCTCCCCCTTCATCAGTCACACCCTCTAACACAGCGGTCGCCAACCTTTCAGACCTCAGACCATCCGTGGTCCGCAGACCACCAGTTAGAACTGCTGTTCTAGAACATCCTTATTGCCCCACACACACTCGCCATGTGTCAGGCGTCTCACTCCCGGGCACGTTTTGCCTTACTGGAGTTCCGAGCCCTGGTCCAATTTTTTTTTTGTTTTTGTTTTTGTTAATCCTCATCTGAGGATATTTTTCCATTGATTTTCTTTTAGAGAGAGTGGAAGGGAGGGAGGGCGGAGAGAGAGAGAAAGAGAAACATCGATGTGAGACACATCGATTAGTCGCCTCCTGCACACACCCTTACTGGGGCTGGGGGTCAAATCCAAAACCCAGGTATGTGCCCTTGACCGGAAATAGAACCCGCAACCCTTTAGTCTGCACGCTGATGCTCTAACCATTGAGCACACCAGCCAGGGCCTGATCCACTCTTGCCTCCTGCAGATTTTGAGGCACACTGCAGGAGGGCGGAGAGAGCGTGTGAATGCCCAACAACCACACCTCTTGTCAACACACCCAGAAACCTTTCAGGCTGACGGGACCCCTAAAGGAGGCCTTTGTATTCCACACCTAGTGACGCATGCCGGAGGGGAGCCTCTCGAGCCATTTCGTCTGGTTTCCTAAGGTCTGGAAAAGATCATTTAGGCTTTTGATTTTGTGCAAATGGTAACAGGTTGGGCCTAATTTTCAAGCGAGCAGATTCCAAATTGTGAAATAGAAAGAGGAGGAAGGAAGACATTGTCTATAGTGACACCCCGCCTCCCCAAATAAAGGAAAACCTGACCCTGAAGTCCTGAGTCATAAACTAGACCGAGTTTGGGGTTAGAAAGGAAAAAATTTTAGAGAAATGAACACAAAATTGTGAACACATTCCAGTGTCACGTAGAATGTTTTCTGAATCCCTGGGTTTATGTTCCGACAACAGTTGTTCTGAAGAGAAATGAAAGTGTATAAACCCTAAACTTCAGTGTTTTCTTTTAATCGGGCAGCTTACATGATATTTAATTCGTGAGAATCAGAAGGTTATTTTCTTCGAAGTCCCCTAGTCCCATGGTCAGCAAACTGCGGCTCACGAGCCACATGCGGCTCTTTGGCCCCTTGAGTGTGGCTCTTCCTAAGCCTTAGGAGCACCCTACTGTATTTGCCGGCGTATAAGACGACTGGGCGTATAAGACGACCCCCTAACATTTCCACTCAAAATACAGAGTTTGTTATATACTCGCCGTATAAGACTACCCCCTCTTCCGCACACCTTCCTC